TACTATCCTCGTGGGGACCTAAATCTGTTTACACAATCACGTGAGGGGACTCGCCTCGCCTTATGGGGACATATTGGAGGTCCCCATGAGGGGAATCATTAATTTTAGGGTGAAGACTTGGTTAGGGTTAGGTTAGTGGTTGTTTCTAGGTGGCAGGGTCATTTTCTTCATCCATTTTCATTCTTGTCACTCCGCTTTTTATGCATTTCTGACTTTTCAGCGTCCCTCCTTTCATGTGCGGTCAGATTACAGTCCTCATCAGATAAGGGAGATTTTCAAACTGGCTGAGGTTGAAAGAAGAAAGGCTCTGAATGGATGTTTCAACACAAGTCAATGTGGAATCGACTGCTATTAACACACATTATGTACTGTACTGTCAAAGAAGAAAACTAGGAGAGTAATTGTTGTAGTGTTGCAGTGTGTAACTTAAAAACTGACCTACTCATGAATCAAAATGAGTTGCAAAGAGATTTATTCACATGTTATTATCTTTCTAGTAGCCTATGATGAGTTTGGATTGGTGAGAATAACAAGTATAACCAAACGTTTGACTGAAATACTGCAAAAACCTGCATTATTATATTTTTGTCCCACCCTCAGAGCTTAAAGGGTCCCTATTATGCTGATTTTTGGGGGGGATTTGAACCTTTCAACCAACATTTTGACTGTAATGTTGCATAAACTTGTATTTAATATATTTTTCAGCGCCTCCTCTGGTGCCGGTCAGTCTTGGGAACGAGGGGCCCCTCCATCAGTGACCGCTAAGTGGCCGTTTCATAAAGATGAGCGCCATTGAGAAAAGAACGAGCTTGTGATCAATTCAAAGAGTCGCTTATAGAGACTGTCAACGCCTGGATATAAGAGGACGCTCCACATGTGTACAGTAACCTGCGGATGAACTCTGTGCGAGGAAGAAAAACTGACTTTGATGTAAAAAATTAAACGTACTAACAGTTGGAGTAGTCAGAAACTTTGTAAAGTATAACCTACTTTAAAAGACCTTAAGTTAAGGTTGTTTCTACTTTGATAATGCAAAGATTTTATGACTTAAAGGGTCATGGTAGAGGTTTAATGCCCCAAAAACTGCAATGTTTCCCCATCTTTTAGTCTCATGATTCTTAAAATAAAGCAGTCTTTTGGTGGCATAGTTTACACCAAAGTGTACATATAGTTTACACCAAAACAAACACAAAGAATAGTCGTTTTTGGTATTTTTTAGTGGCTTAGAGAGTGACATTTAAATCAGGTTAAACCAGGGGTGTCAAACTCAATTTCATCACGGGCCTTATCAGCATTATGGTTGCACTCAAAGGGCCGGTTGTAACTTTAAGACTATATAAAAATACATATACAAATATTTAATATATATTAAATAATGTATTATATTACATTATTGTCTCTGCATTGGATTATTATCAGATAGGGTAATAACTTCATAATTATCTACGTCTGAAAGCAGAAGTCCAGGGCAAATAATTGCAAGTCTCGTCAGTAAGAATGTCACAAAATGGTTTAAAAAGAAAAGCCAAATTCTGAAAAAAAAGTGAACATTTGAAGAAAAAAAAAGTGATTTTTTTGGGGGAAAAGTAACATTTTGAAGAAAAAAGTAACATTTTGAAGAAAACATTTTTAATTCTGAGAAAAAAAGCATATTTTGAAGATAAAAAGTCAAATTCTGAGAAAAAAGTCAAATTCCAGATGCATTGTGGGACATGTAGTTTATGGGCAACGTGCTTCTGTAAAGTAGCATGTAGCCGTATAATAAACATATTATATTCTTTGCAAGCTCTTATGGGGCCACAGAAAAGGAAGTCGCAGGCTGGATTTGGCCCCCGGGCCTTGAGTTTGACCCCCCTGGGTTAAACCATCTCAAACATCTCCATGACTTTGGTCAAACATCCTTATCCTAAGCAAACATTTTGTCACACAAAAGTGTTTTTAAATGTGCATATGTTAAAGATTTAAAGAGTGTTAAAGCATGTATCTAAATGTGAACTACAGAAATAATGGAGAGGTCAGGACTGCACATCTGGACTGATTCGTTATGGTTTTTATATAATGTTGGTAGGGTCAAGTTACAGCTTTCTCATACAAACAGTAATCCAAAAGTCACCTTTGGCCTCCTTATAGAAATGCATAACACACAGCAGTAGTTTAATCTCATGTATATGCTTTGAGAAAATCACATTATTGATACCTTTACTTTTCTTGACACTGTGATAATCTCATTGAATGTGAAGCATGTTTGAGTCACAGGAACCCCAAAGGAGAGGGTGAGCCTGATGAAATAAAAATAGCTAAAAGTGACGTTTCCTCTGCACGAATGCCACAATGTCACATTGTGCAACGCCTTGTAACTTTTTATCACCCTGCAGAGAGGGAAACATATCTGCTTTTTTTTTTTTAGATTCATGCTTTTCCAGAGAGCTCCACACACTTCAACAGAGGACAGACTGAAGTTTCTGTGTCATGCTGCCCTCTAGCTTTCAGAGAAGAACTGTCCTGTGTTTCATAGAAGGAAATATGAGGAAACGGACATACTTGCAACCGATGCATGACCAAGTGAAGCGATGACAAAGACACCATTTTCTACGTTTCTTTTCCCTCATAAATGTGTGATTCTTGTCTCAGAGATTTCAGATATTCTTTCCCCTCACAAATCTATGACTTGATCAACTTAAAGCAAATTCAACTTTTTTCTAGAAAGCCTACATTAACCCTCCTGTTGTCTTCGGGTCCAATCTGACCGATTTACTACTTTCATCAATCATAACTTTTTTGTTTTAGATTCGATTGCATCAAGGCTTTATGATATCCTTCACAGGAGACATTTGAACATATACAATTGCTGATCACCACTTTCATTGAGTTTTGGATGATTTAGTCAACTTTGTGACACCCATGGTGTTCCCGCCATAAAGAAAAGGAATTAGTCACCATCCGGATCAGATACAACATGCACACAAACACACACACACACACACACACACACACACACACACACACACACACACAAACACCCACCCACACCCACACCCACCCACACACACACACACACACACACACACACACACACACACACACACACACACACACACACAAACACCCACCCACACCCACACCCACACCCACACACACACACACACACACACACACACGTGTTCCCCCCTTATGTGCCCAATCCCCCCATGTGAATCACACCTGGCACACACACACACACACACACACACACACACACACACACATACATACTCTAGATGTGTTCCCCCCCCTTATGTGCCCAATCCCCCCATGTGAATCACACCTGGCACACACACACACACACACACACACACACACACACACACACACACACACACAGATCAATTTGACACATTTCCCGCTCTTATGTGCCCATCCCCCCACATGGATCACACCTGGCACACACAATACATGTTCAGTGTCTATTCTTTGTATATTAACTGCAGTTTTTCATGTATACCAGTAGTCTGATACAATATGTACAGTTTGAAAGGGTGTTAAATGAAATTTGGTGATGATTAATGGTTTTTGTGTTAATGTAATAGCAGTCAAAACAGGACCGGTCACATTTGACCGAGAACACTAAAGCAAGGGGGAAACAAAGACAATAGGAGGGTCAAAGTCAAAGTCAACTTTATTGTCAATCTCAAAATATGTTTGTACACACAGAAAGATCTAAATACTGTTTCCCACAGTCCTGAGGTATAAAACACTCACACATTAAAATGCAAGAACACTCAATAATTACAAAAAAAAACACAAAATAACCGTTTACTTCAAGTAAGCAGGATATATATAAATAATATGATGTACATAGTGCAAATGAGAGTGCAAAAAAGTGACTGGTAAAGAGTGTATTTCTCTTATATGTACCTTTTTAATTTCAGAGAATTTCCAAGTTTGTTTTCTTGTCTTATGCGCGAACATTGTGAGACATTATTATTATTATTATTTTGTTATTTCGAAGATTCAAAGTACTTGAAAGATAGTGATATCCAGAGATCAGCCTGATAACATGTTCCTTGAGTTATTCAAAAGTGATTCTGTTTCTTACAGTAAAAACTGATATAAATACCATGTGTTCATATAAACCGCAGTGTACCGCTGCTGCTGCTGCATTCCTCTCTGACCATGAGGCTGTCAAAATATAACATAAATCAAACATGTTCAAGTCTAACTGGACTGATCTGGCAGTTAAAACCTGTGTTTTCAACGTTGTACAACACACACACACACATCTGATATTATTATTATACACATCATCATTTTCACTTCACCTCAGACAGTGTGGCTTATATCGACAGAGGTCCTGATTGGATTAGATATAATCTGACAGGACAGGTCACACGCTTGTTGTAGGTCGTCTCTCACACACACATACACACACACACACACACACACACACACACACACACACACACACACACACACACACACACACACACACACACACACACTCATTCATCCTGATAGTGCAGTAACACTCACTTGCTTCCTGCTGCACAACTTTTCTACCTTTTGGATGTAAACACAAGAGGATGATCGCCTCCAATTTTCCTCGGAAAGAAACAAGACCTGTTCGTCTCATTGATGCACGGTAAGAGTCCTCAAAAAAGATAATCGACAGATGCATAATTAGAATTAAAAATGTAGGAATAAGACTATAGTTTCATTGAGTTTTAGAAGTACTTCCAAATAGACTTTCTTGGCTTCTTCTTCCACCTCTGACTTCTTGACAATAGCTTCTGATTTATAAACTCTAAAAAAGCTAAACTCACTTCCACTTTTCTCCACATCCTTCACATTTCCAGGGAAGCAGCATCTTCACATCATCTTCCTACAAAATCCTGTGAGCTCTGGAGGTTTTAAACTTTAAAATGCAAACACAGCGTTGTGCCTCCATCTTCTCCTCACCTCCTGACATTGACTTCCACCATTTAGCTTCTGTTTCCTCTCCTCTGCTCCCTCCTTTCCTCCTGAGGTTCCTCCTGCTCCTCCTTTGTTTCCTTCCTTGCCCAGTGCATGCATCCTTTTTCCGGGTAGGGATTGTGGGGCCATGGGGGTGCGACCCTCTCTTTGCAAAGGCTCTTCCTAATGTGGCAGCACAACTCGCCGTAAACCGCATCAACAAGGACCGCTCCCTGTCCTACGCTGCCACCTTCGACTTCACCGTGCTGCAGGTACGACGCTTAAATCAGCATCTGACAGAAAGTCATGTGCATTAAAGGTGTCCTATCATGCAAAATGCACTTTTTGATGTCTTTTATATATGAATACGTGTCCCCGGTGTGTCAGGAGACTCACAAAGTGTTAGAAAACGAAACCCTCTCTCTTTTCCTCCGTACCCAAATCTCTAAAAACGGGGCTACAACGGAGCTGATCCAGATTTGCGTCCGATATGACGTAATATCTGAAATGTGGCCCTATCAGAAACGTTGCTATCAGAAAAAATGCCTGACGTGTTTGGACGTAATATGGTCTTTGTTTACATTAGCATCGCTAACACTCAGAGCTAACCTGTACTGGAGAGAGCATGTGTAAAAAAGCAGGACATTAAAAAAAGGAACTCACCTTGTGGTAAACCCGTAAGAGAAAAAGCCTTTGAGCTCCATACTGTTTCAGAAATAATCCTTGATGTGGTTTGGAACATGATGGCGTTTAATCAGAATTTTGCTGAATCTGCCGTGTAATTCTGAGCAGGCATTAGCTCCGCCTCCTCCAAAATCCGCGTTTTTCTAACAGGGCTGAAATAGAGGGATATGAGGGATTTCTAAAATGCATGATCTGTTTGGTATTTTGAGAAAAACACATCATAGACATGTTTTTTATATATTTTTATATATCTGAGACCCATAATATAAGCCTAAAAATAGCATGATAGGTGACCTTTAAACTGCCTAATTCAGGGGTGTCAAACTCAATTTCATCGCGGGCCACATTGGCATTATGGTTGCACTCAAAGGGGCGGTTGTTACTTTAAGACTATATAAATATATAATATACATTAAATAATGTATTATATTACATTATTGGCTCTACATTGGATTATTATCAGTTCTGAAAATAACTTCATAAATAACTACGTCTGAAAGCAGAAGTATAGGGCAAATAATTGAAAGCAAATATTCAACAATTGTATTGTATATTATATTATTTTCAAGCTCTTGCGGGCCACATATATTGAGGTCCTTGAGTTTGACACCCCTGGCCTAATTGATGTATTGATTGTAACATTGTAGGAGCCATGTGAGACATCAAAGGCGTTGGAAAAGTTCCTGGGTTTCCACACTAAGGCTTCAGCGTATATTGGACCATCAAATCCAGGATACTGTGATGCTGCTTCGATGCTGAGCAAAGGCTGGAACAAAGTAGGTGTTTTAGAGGAACTTAAGGTGTAAATGTGAGTGTTTTCCAGACATGGCAAAAGTACACACATCCTTTACTCAAGTAGAAGTACAGATACTCGTGTTTAAAAATACTCTGGTAAAAGTAGAAGTACTGATTAAACTTCTTTACTCAAGTAAAAGTAAAGAGGCTTTGAAATGTACTTCAGTAAAAAGTACCCATAACTAGCAGCTGTTTTAAAGAGTACCTGACCTCCCTTTATATTAATAGAACAATAATGTCATTGTTAGCTAATGAATGTTTCCATGCTGAACAACGGCAACATGACAACGTTTTCATTGGTCCCTCTTCTTTAGAGAAGACCAGGAAATGATGGATACACGGATCGTGTTCAAATCAATAGGCACGCAATGACTCTAAATAATAATGATCACGCCACCAAACACACATTCAAACTAAAGGAACCAGCCAGTTTGGGAAATGTAAGAAGTAGAAAGTACAGGTATTTGTGTTCAACATGTAAGAAGTAGAAAGTACAGGTATTTGGGTTCAACATGTAAGAAGTAGAAAGTACAGGTATTTGTGTTCAACATGTAAGAAGTAGAAAGTACAGGTATTTGGGTTCAACATGTAAGAAGTAGAAAGTACAGGTATTTGGGTTCAACATGTAAGAAGTAGAAAGTACAGGTATTTGGGTTCAACATGTAAGAAGTAGAAAGTACAGGTATTTGTGTTCAACATGTAAGAAGTAGAAAGTACAGGTATTTGTGTTCAACATGTAAGAAGTAGAAAGTACAGGTATTTGGGTTCAACATGTAAGAAGTAGAAAGTACAGGTATTTGTGTTCAACATGTAAGAAGTAGAAAGTACAGGTATTTGTGTTCAACATGTAAGAAGTAGAAAGTACAGGTATTTGGGTTCAAAATGTAAGAAGTCAAAGTAAAAAGTCGTCAGAAAAATAAGTAGTGGAGTATAGTACTGATACCAGAAAAATGTACTTAAGTACAGTAACGAAGTATTTGTACTCCACTACTTCCCCCCTCCTCTCCTCTCCTCCTGCAGGCCTTGTTCTCTTGGGGTTGTGTTGGATACGAACTGGACGATGTTCGGAGCCACCCAACGTTTTCCCGCTCGATGCCGAGGCCCAGCTGGGTTCTGCTCAGCGTCTTCAACTACTTCAGGTGGGCCAACGTCGCCATCATCGCTTCCTCAGAGGACATCTGGGTGGAGACGGCCATCAAGGTGTGAATATCTCATTTTCAGTACAGTAGATAAATGCAATCCAATTAAAGTGTTAGATGGAAGAGGAAGCAACACTAAAGCTTTATTGATATAGTACTTTTCATACAACACGTGCAGCTCAATTTACAAAATGACACAAGTTCAAATCAAACAACAAGAAATTCCCCTCAGATTATTTGTTAAGAACTTTTAAAGGTACATGCAGCAACATATAACATTGTATCAGGTTAATAGACACAAGGAGGTAAAAGGTATGATAATACAAATACAATAAATAATGGTTTCTCACTGACAGATAAGACACAAGACAACTGAGTCGATGCAACAATATAAAACCCCATAAAACAAAGTGAACATATAGGTGCAACAGAAATACATATAAAAAGTGATGGGACATAAGATATCTAATTGTAAAGCCACGACCAACGTTTTTACTCGAACATGTAGGCTAAAATGCAGCTATCTTTTTTTAAATCTGCTCTCTTTTTCTGCTTTTCTCTTGTTTGATTTGATGGTTTTCATCTAGTCAGCGTGTGTTTTCTCTACTGTACAGGTATCTGATTCCTTGGGGAGTCATGGTCTTCTAATCTAATAAAAGTGTTAGATGGCAGAGGAACCAACAATGTGAAGGGACATTGAAGTCTCATTTAAAATTGTGCCAGTTTTTAATGTGTTATAATAGTTTCTTTTACTTGCATATTGACCGGTTAAAGGTAGGGTAGGTAAGTTTGAGAAACCGGCTCGAGATACACTTTTTGTTATATTCCATGGAATGCTCTTAACATCCCGATAGCAATGAATATCTGAAGTGCTTTGACAAAAAATATCCATAAATAAATGTCATCTGTGGAAGCCGTAGTACTGTAAAAAGCACGACCAATCATCTGAGCCAGCCCGGCTAAAATAACTGGATGGCCTACCTGCCTGTCAGCCTTCCATCTGTGCACAAACTTATCTCGTGCCCTCATTGGTCATGTGCGCGTTCGTGTGTGTTGGAGGAGGGGCTCTGTAAGGAAGTGGCAGATTTTCTCCGGTTGTGTATTTTCAAATTCTAGCGATCTCGAGCCCCACCTTTAATGTGCCATTTCATTTGTGTTTTACAGCTGTATTCCTCTGTCTGTATTGTTTTGTGTTCATTTGTTCTAACTTTGTTCATGTTGCCCTTCTTGGCTGTTTTCTTCATGGTTTTCATCTAGTCAGCGTGTTTTTTCTGTACCGTACAGGTATCTGATTCCTTGGGGAGTCACGGTTTTCCGGTTAGGTTGGTCAGTATTTTGGAAAACACGCCTCACAGCATCCGACGAACTCTGAGCAAGCTTAGAAAGATGAGAGAAATTCGAGGTGAGTTCAAATGTTTTACTGGTGACGAGACTCTCAAAAAGGAACCCAAGTTGTTCCTTTTTGAATGTGTTTACTTACTTGTTGTTTTAAATAAATAAACCTTGATTAAACATGTCAGTTATTCAGTGTTGAAGGTCACCTATTATGCAAAATCCACTTCTTCATGTCTCTTCTACATCAACATGTGTCCCCTCTTCTTCATGTCTCTTCTACATCAACATGTGTCCCCTCTTCTTCATGTCTCTTCTACATCAACATGTGTCCCCTCTTCTTCATGTCTCTTCTACATCAACATGTGTCCCCTCTTCTTCATGTCTCTTCTACATCAACATGTGTCCCCTCTTCTTCATGTCTCTTCTACATCAACATGTGTCCCCTCTTCTTCATGTCTCTTCTACATCACCATGTGTCCCCTCTTCTTCATGTCTCTTCTTCATCACCATGTGTCCCCTCTGTGGAAAGAGACTCTGAAAGTTTCAGGAACAAAGATTCTCTCTCTTTTTGTCCTGATCCATTTCTATAAAAACCTGTCTGAAAATGAGCTGATCAGATTTTGGCCACTTTATGATGTCATAACGATTTTTTTGTCTTGTGTAACCATTAGCCAATCACCAACCAAGGTAACCCCCCCCACACCTTATCACCTGAATCTCCTCCTAGAGCACCATTGAGTTCTTTGTAACCAAATCTCTCTCAGAGGGGCGTGGGGAGGGGCTCCTTATTTTCATCTAAAGTAACAGACAGAGAATCAGCACTTTTGAAACAGGGCTGAAACAGAGGGGATTATGGGATGCTGCAATGATCTGTTTGGTGTTTCAGCCAATCAGAGAGAGGTTCTGTATATATCTGAGACCTGTAATATATTGATGAAAAACAGTATCATAGGGGACCTTTAAAGACCCCCTGTTGTGTTGTAGTTGTGGTCCTCTGCATGCACTCTGCTCTGATGGGCGGTGGCGTCCAGAAGCAGCTCCTGGAGACGGCCTTTGACCTCCAGCTGACCGACGGCTCGCTAGTGTTTGTTCCCTACGACACCCTGCTCTACAGCCTGCCGTACAGAAACATCACCTACCCCGCTCTGAGGAGGAACAGCAAACTACTGAGGGCCTACGACGCTGTGCTGACCATCACCATCAACTCTCAGCAGGGGTCTTTCTACGAGGCGTACAGGGAGGCAATGGAGAGAGGAGAGGTGGCGAAGACGCTGAAACCTGAACAGGTGATTGTTGGGGAAATATTTTCCTGGGCCCATAACTTTGACCCAGTGTTACGCCCCCGGTCTAGGGGAACCTAGGCGTAGCATACAATTCACACTCTGCCCACTCTTCCCACTCCCAAGAAAAAGTAGGTACACAGAAAAATGTGTGTGTGTGTGTGTGTGTGTGTGTGTGTGTGTGTGTGTGTGTGTGTGTGTGTGTGTGTGTGTGTGTGTGTGTGTGTGTGTGTGTGTGTCCTGCAGGTTTCTCCTCTGTTCGGCACCGTGTACAGCTCCGTCCTCTTCGTGGCTCACGCAGTGCATCGTGTTCGGGAATCTGGAGTCTGGATGTCAGGAAGAAACCTGGCAACACACACCCGAAACCTGGACTTCCAGGTACGAAAAGGAGCGGGAATAACACACACGATATTGAAAATATACAGGAAGTTACAGGAAAAATAGCTATCATCTCATTCAATTTGATTATGTATGTTGGAATTGTCCATTAGGAGTCCAACACAGGGTTTATATTTTATAACAACGATATATGTAAGAATGAACAAAGCGACTTACATACTCAATACTGTGGGAAATCCCCACAGGAGCAATTTTGGGTGAAGTGTCTCAGGGACATAACGACATGCAGTGGGGTTTGAACCTGTGCGCCCCTTATCCCAACACCAACGCACTATCCCACTGCGCCACACGCCTCCTTGGCAGTTATTTTCAAACAAAACATGTACACTTATACTGTTTATTCTTTTATAGCGCATGGTGGAAAGGAGCAGGGAGAAGAACATCTTATTTTACCTGCCCCTTCTTACAAAACAATAACAACATCAAAAAATGAAATAACCATAAAAAAGTTAAATAAAATCTTTCTTATTTTCTTTATACATTTTCTTATTTTGTATTTTCTTTTCTTATTGTTTTGATTTAACTCACATGTTTTGTATCCAAACAGAACACTCCAAGCTTGATTACATGATTAAATTACCAAACATCATAATATCAAAATGATAGCTCTTACTACATATCTTACTTTTCTTTGCAGGGCTTCAGTCATCCGATAAAAACCGATGCGTCCGGAGCAGTTCTGCTGGAATACGTCATCCTGGATACTGACGGACTATCCTGGGAATTAAAGCCTACGTACAGGTATATTAGCACTGAGGACAGAGAGAGAAAAGCAAATAGATTTATGAGGTGAGGTAAAAGAAAGTCAAAACAGGCTTTTATTTAAACTTCAAATATACTCAAGTTTTGTTGAGAAATATCACAATGTTGAGTTTAAAGACCACACCATGACGTTTTTAATGCTGTAGTTTGAGTTTGTGTTGTATTTTAAGGTTTGTATATATTTTTAACTCAAAGAATGGGTTGTATTATTGTTGCCATAGTAACTTCTTTGCATTGATTACTGTCAGCATCGACATGGAGGCCGGTATGGTGCGTTTCCTGGGTCGAGAAATCCACTTTCCTCGAGGATACAGACCCAGAAAAGACGCCTCGTGCTGGTTTACTCCTGGAGTCATCTGCTCTGGAGGTCAGACACACACACACACACACACACACACACACACACTCAGAAACACACATCGCACTGTGCATACAGGCGTTCATGCCGTTTAGACTTTGAATGGCTCTAAAACAAATAAATATATTACTGCATGTGCATTCCATACAACACACACACACACACACATACACACACACACACACACACACACACACATACACAAACACATATTGTGTATACTGTACAGGCGTTTATGCTGGTTTGTGTTTACCATTTAGACTTTTAATGCCTCTAAAACAAATAAATATATTCCTGAATGTGTATTTCCCCCAAAAATGTTTATGTCTTTGTGTATAAATATATTCCTTTAGGTGCAGAGTGCAGAGTTTTCATAAGAAAAATTCTTTCATTTCCTTTTAAAACACTTAAAAATGTCATGCATTCAATCAGAAATTAAGGAAATGTTTTTCTTGTTCAAGGCGTGGATCTGTTCCCGACCATCGACATGTTTTTGGGAATGATGGCCGCCTCTGTGTTTGGAGTGGCTTTAATTTACTGCATCAGGTACACACTGGATTATCTGAATCATCATCAACATTCAAATGCACTATATCCATGTGAACAGTTTTAATAAGAACACTTTCAAATATGGTGTTGCTTGCAGTCTGGACATACAGCCTTATTATATAGATTAAAAATACAATGTTTATGCCACTTATAGAAAAGAACTTTAGTTAAAGTCAAATGCACATTTTAAAGACAAGGTTTGCATGTTGTATTCCTTGTTTAAAAAAAATGCTCATTGGCAAATATTGACTAATAGTTGACCGACTGATTGATTGGCTGATTGGTTGATTCATTGATTGATTTGCGTGTCATGTGCCAAACTATAATGGGTTACCAAGACACCAACAATACATTTTTAAGGTAAGAAATCACAGGTTATCTGCTGCTTATAAGCTCCTTTCTGTATAACGGTACGTCCACACGGTTCCGTCGCGTTGAAGCTTGCCTGGTGGGCGTGTCTGGCGTGCGACCAACAACCAATCACATTAATCTCCCGCCCCGGACACACAAGCACGCGGTTTGATTGGCTAGCGCTTGTACTGGCATATTACATTACATGTCACTTTTTAGACGCTTTTATCCAAAGCGACTTACATACTCAATACTGTGGACAATCCCCACAGGAGCAATTTGGGGTGAAGTGTCTCAGGGACACAACGACATGCTGACTGCAGTGGGGTTTGAACCTGTGACCCCCTGATCCCAACACCTACGGACAACCCACTGCACCACACGCCTCGCCATATGATTTGATTGGCTGGCACTAACGTCGACGCTTGAAAAGTTGAACTTTCGAAGCGAGCAACGCGAGCAAAGCGATGCGACGGAACCACAATGCAGTTCGGCAAAGCGTGACGTCACCCCATTCAAAGTGAATGGGAAGCGTCTCCGTTGAAGCACGCAACGCTGCCGTGTGGACGTACCGTTAATGTTAACTGAATAGACTAAGAAACCATCCAAATCAATGCCAAATAAAAATGAAGTAACCTTTGAATCTTAATTTTAACCTAAAATATTTTGTATATATTATTAGTTAGTTAGTTTGTGACTCCATTAAACTCTAGCACCTGATCCTGATGTCTCTTGTTGCCTAGGCGACGCCTCAACCAGATCCGATTGGTTAAAGGTCCGAACAGGATTCTGCTGACTCAGGCTGACGTCACATTCATCAACCCGTCACTAAGCACCAAGGTCAGACAATATCAATATATTCTGTACGAATGAAAAACGCTTTGATTTGAGTTCGTTAAAAATAAAACTCCAAGAGGAAATTGTGATGTAGTTATTTAAATTAAATAAATACATTGTTCTCTGTTCGTTGATATGTTTCTTAAAAATTAGATATTGTTCCTGAGGTACTAGTTGAATATAAAAAGCACACTTAGTACTGTACTTAAATACAATTTTAGGTTACTTTTTTAGGGTTTTGTTACTTTTATATTCACTTCACATTACATTTACTTAATAAAAATGACAGAAAATGTTAATAAATATTGTACTTTTACACAGTTTTCGATACTTTTACAGAATAAATTGCCAACAAAGAAATATTCATTTTAATATTACATTTTTAGCTGTATTTTATATAAAGAAGTTAAACTGAGCCCCAACTTTAGTGAGCACCAAGGTCAGACACTCTACTACTGTACGACTGAAATACTCTTTAATTTGAGTTTGTAAAAAACAAAACTGCAAGAGGAAATTATTATGTTATTATTTAAATTTAAATCTATACATATGTCTCTATCTGTGAAGACGACCAGAGGTACTTGTTGAATATAAAAAGGACATTTAGTACTGTACATTTCTTTAGTAGTGATGCTCTTCTTGAGTATTTCTACAGTATTTTATGTTTTGCTTAATGCTTTATTCACTTTGCAGTTTCACTTTATTATGACCAATAAAGAAATATATAATGTAATAGTATAGGTTTAGTTGCATTGTATACAAATGTGTTAAATTGAGCTCCTACCTTTAGTGATAAACATGTTATTGCATCAATTTATAATAAAATGGTCCATTGATAATGAGTACTATACCTTGATGCTTATGGACATTTAGTATATTAAGTATCATTTTGAATACAGGAGTAATTTATGTTGCATTTAAAGCTAGTTCCCCCCCCCTGACCTCTGACCTTACAGAAGCTGAGTCAGGACGACAGCAAGGCGAGTCTCATGAGGAGCAACTCGCCCGTCTCCTCCCAAACACCGGCCACCTACGAGAACTCCAACATCGTCATTTTCCAGGTGAGACACTCACTTTAAAGGTCCCCTCAATATATCACAGGTCTCAGATATATAGAAAACATGTCTCTGAAGTGTTTTGCTCCAAACACCAAACAGATCATTGCAGCATCCCATAATCCCCTCTGTTTCAGCCCTGTTTCAAAAGTGATGATTCTGTCTGTTACTTTAGATGAAAATAAGGAGCCCCTCCCCACGCCCCTCTGAGAGATATTTGGTTAAAAAGAACTCAATGGTGCTCTAGGAGGAGATTCAGGTGATAAGGTGGGGGGGGGGGATTACCTTGGTTGGTGGTTGGCTAATGGTTACACAAGACAAAACATCGTTATGACATCACAAAGTGGCCAAAATCTGATCAGCTCATTTTCAGACAGGTTTTTATAGAAATGGATCAGGACAAAAAGAGAGAGAATCTTTGTTCCTGAAACTTTCAGAGTCTCTTTACACAGAGGGGACACATGTTGATGTAGAAGAGACATGAAGAAGAGGGGACACATGTTGATGTAGAAGAGACATGAAGAAGAGGGGACACATGTTGATGAAGAAGAGACATGAAGAAGAGGGGACACATGTTGATGTAGAAGAGACATGAAGAAGAGGGGACACATGTTGATGTAGAAGAGACATGAAGAAGAGGGGACACATGTTGATGTAGAAGAGACATGAAGAAGTGGATTTAGCATAGTAGGTGACCTTTAAAGGTGGGTTTGGTAAGTTTGAGAAACCGGCTCGAGATACACTTTTTGTTATATTCCATGGAATGCTCTTAACATCCCGATAGCAATGAATATCTGAAGTGCTTTGACAAAAAATCCATTAAAAAATATCATCTGTGGAAGCCGTGGTACTGTAAAAAGCACGACCAATCATCTGAGCCGGCCCGGCTAAAATAACTGGATGGCCTACCTGCCTGTCAGCCTTCCATCTGTGCACAAACTTATCTCGTGCCCTCATTGGTCATGTGCGCGTTCGTGTGTGTTGGAGGAGGGGCTCTGTAAGGAAGTGGCAGATTTTTTTCCGGTTGTGTATTTTCAAATTCTAGCGATCTCGAGCTGGTTTCTCCAAAATTACCTACCCTACCTTTAAGTGGCAGCATCATTTTAGTTTTATTGAAAGTTAAAAACACTTTCTTTAATCTCTCCTGCAGGGTGACTGGGCCTGGCTGAAGAGACTTCCTGATGGTTCCTTCAGCCGCATCAACCCCAAAACCAGTTATGTGTTTGAACTGGTACGTGGCTTTATTTTGTTAAACAAAGAAAAGCCCAGCTAACAGAAACCAGTGTCTTAAAGCACCTTATTTGTTCAACAGATGAGGGACATGCGTCATGAAAACGTGAATACGTTCCTGGGATACTTCCACGATTGCGGCGTCTTCGCCATCGTGACAGAGTTTTGCTCCAGAGGAAGTTTGGAGGACCTGCTGTTCAACGAAGACGTGAAACTGGACTGGATGTTCAAGTCCTCGCTGCTGCTGGATCTCATTAAAGTCAGTTTGGGGGGAAGAGGAAGAGGGACTGAAAAAACTGAAACGTTGACTTTAATTAAATGTATTTTGTCAACAGATTCCACATAACGGTATTAGGTTAATTGAAGCCAATAATTTCAGGTTTAAATAGGTTTAACTTAATATTATTGCTCTCCATTAACATAATACAGTTATGTGAAATAATTAAAGTCAACGTTGCAGTTTTTTCAGTAGGCGGATTTGACATATTTAGGATAGCAAGGATGTCATACATGGACGCATGCTGGTTGGTGTTTACCGTTTAGACTTTTAATGGCTCTAATACAAATACATATATTCCTCCATTTGTCTTCCCAAACATTTTTTATATCTGTGTTTGTAAATATATTTATTTAGCTGCACAGTCCAGAGATTTTCATTAAAAAGTCTCAAAAAGAGTTTAAGCATGCACTGATTTTTTTACTGAAGCAAAGGTTGAGCAATTTAAAGTCATGGGAAATGTTGACAACTCATTTGTATTCTTTCATTTCCTATAAAAACACATTAAAAATGTAATGTTTTCAATCAGAAATCGACATACTTCTGAAACTCAAGTTTGGCCTTTTAAAAGTGGAAACTGCAACCAGTGTTGAAGGAAGTATTTCGATTTGTTGACTGTATAGATATTATTTTACAAGTACTGTATTGAGATGTAGTATAGGCAGGAAATGCAACTAAACTATTGAAAGTACAAAAGTCCCCTTTGACTGTTATACTATATGTTATATCATTAGCAAACATTTCCCAAATTGGGATCAATAAAGTAGAAGAAGTAGAAAACATGGCTGCTGTTTTTGTATATTTTCTGTCTCAGGGTATGAAGTACCTCCATCATCGGGGGGTGTCTCACTCTCGTCTGAAGTCTCGTAACTGTGTGGTGGACGGACGGTTCTTACTAAAAGTCACAGACTTCGGTTACAGGGAAGTTCTGGAGGCTCAGAGGTTCCCCTACACAGAACAACCTGCAGAGGGTGAGAGAACATCTGAGTATCAGCAATAGATTCAAGATTCAAAGCTTTATTGTCATGTGCACATTAGCTACAGCTTAGATATGGCAATGAAAAACTTCACTCCTCTAACAGTGCAACATGAATATATATAGGACAAATTAAGCAAATAAAATAGTGCAAGAGAATGTTTTGAGATGTGCTAGTAAATCCAAATAAAATAGAAATAGTGCCAGAAGAGAGTACATTTACTCAGAGGTGGGAAGTAGTGGAGTGCAAATATTTCGTTGCTGTACTTAAGTACATTTTTCTGGTATCAGTACTTTACTCCACTACTTATTTTTCTGACGACTTTTTACGTTTACTTCTTACGTTTTGAACACAAATACCTGTACTTTCTACTTCTTACATGTTGAACCCAAATACCTGTACTTTCTACTTCTTACATTTTGAACACAAATACCTGTACTTTCTACTTCTTACATGTTGAACCCAAATACCTGTACTTTCTACTTCTTACATGTTGAACCCAAATACCTGTACTTTCTACTTCTTACATGTTGAACACATATACCTGTACTTTCTACTTCTTACATGTTGAACACAAATACCTGTACTTTCTACTTCTTACATGTTGAACACAAATACCTGTACTTTCTACTTCTTACATGTTGAACCCAAATACCTGTACTTTCTACTTCTTACATTTCCCAAACAGGCTGGTTCCTTTAGTTTGAATGTGTGTTTGGTGGCGTGATCATTATTATTTAGAGTCATTGCGTGCCTATTGATTTGAACACGATCCGTGTATCCATCATTTCCTGGTCTTCTCTAAAGAAGAGGGACCAATGAAAACGTTGTCATGTTGCCGTTGTTCAGCATGGAAACATTCATTAGCTAACAATGACATTATTGTTCTATTAATATAAAGGGAGGTCAGGTACTCTTTAAAACAGCTGCTAGCTATGGGTACTTTTTACTGAAGTACATTTCAAAGCCATCTTTACTTTTACTTGAGTAAAGAAGTTTAGTCAGTACTTCTACTTTCACCAGAGTATTTTTAAACACGAGTATCTGTACTTCTACTTGAGTAAAGCATGTGTGTGTTCTCTGTATTATTCTCCTCAGAGCTGCTGTGGACGGCTCCAGAGATCCTGAGGAGCGCTCAGCCGGCGCTCAATGGGACTCCATCAGGAGACGTGTACAGTTTCGCCATCATCATGCAGGAGGTGGTGGTCCGAGGACCCCCGTACTGCATGATGGACCTGCCCGCCACAGGCAAGATAACACACACACACACACACCTAAAAGAAGCACACACACGATACAATACTAATAATGAATAATAACAGATTACATTTGTATAGCGCCTTTCAAGGGACCCAAGGCCGCTTTACATGGTGAACAAACAAACAAACAAACAAACAAACAAAAGGGGCAAATAATAAAGTGAAACATGTAATACTGATGCTATACGTTTCGATACAATGCGAATGATACGATAAGTTACTATAAGAGAAAAATAATGATACGATGTGATACGATGCAATACGAAAGGATAAGGTACCATACTATACGATACATTTATGATGCGATGCAATACGTTACGATACGTTACCTTACATCATGTTACGTAACGTTAGATTACATTGTGATACGATACAATATGTTACGATACAAGATGATACTATACGTTCCTGATGCGATAGTAATGAGAAATAATACGAAACGATATGTTATGATATGTTACGATACGATACAATATTTTGCAATATGTTACAATATGTTAAGATATGTTATAATATTTTAAGATATGTTACGATACGATATGTTACGATACGATATGTTACGATACGATATGTTACTATAAGTTCCTGATGCGATGCGATAGTAATGACAAATAATACAAAACGATATGTTACGATACGATACAATATGTTACAATATGTTAAGAATAAGATATGTTAAGATATGTTACAATATGTTGCGATATGCTACGATATGTTACGATACGTTACGATATGTTACAATACAATACGTTGCAATAGAATACAGTTCGATACGAGCCACATGATACTAAATGATACAAGATAATATGCAATAACATTAGATTCAACTTCATTGTCCGTTAATGTCTGACATTTTTCTTGCATCCCAGCAGCTCCATTTGCAACATCAACAAGGACAAATATTAAGACAAGAAACAACTTAAAATGTCACATTTACCAAATCAATTTAAAGGGGACCTATCATGCAAAATGCACTTTTTTATGTCTTTTATACATAAATATGTGTCCCCGGTGTGTCGGGGAACTCACGCAGCGTCAGAAAATAAAACCCTCTCTCTTTTCCTCCGTACCCAAATCTCTAAAAACGGGGGTACAACGGAGCTGATCCAGATTTGCGTCCGATATGACGTAATATCGGAAATGTAGGCTGGCTTTACACCCCCGGCCCTATCAGAAACGTTGCTATCAGAAACAATGCCCGACTGTTTTGGACGTAATATGGTCGGTGTTTACATTAGCATCGCTAACACTCAGAGCTAACCTGTACTGGAGAGCATGTGTGTGAAGAAGCAGGAAATAAAAAGGAACTCACCTTGTGGTATAACCGGCAAGAGAGAAAGCCTTTGAGCTCCATACTGTTTCAGAAATAATCCTTGATAATCCATGGTATGGCGTTTCATCACGGCAGCATTTAGTTTAGACAGTAGCTGCCGGGTCCCGCATGAGCTCAGACCCCTACTTTTTTATTTTGTATCAATTTTTTAAAGCTTTATACCCAAAATCAGCACTTTTGTAACAGGAAGTGAAATAGAGGGATACGAGGCATGGCTAGAATGGGTGATCTGTTTGGTATTTTGAGCAAAACACTTCATAGACATGTTTTTTATATTTCATATAATAAACAATATATACATATCGTATATATTTTTATATATCTGAGACCTATGCTATTGCCTAAAAATAGCATGATAGGTGACCTTTAAGCTGTTCTAGGTCACTAGAGAGGCCTATCATTGTAGCTAATAGATGTCTAACTATGTGTGTTTCCCTCACTGATCAACACTGCCATCCCTACACTAAACTCTGTAATATTTCTGTGTGTTTCAGAGATATTAGAGAAGCTGCGTAACCCCCCTCCTCTGTTTCGCCCGGTGGTCAGTCCAGATTACGCTCCGTTAGAGTGCATCCAGCTGATGAAGCAGTGCTGGAAGGAACAGCCAATCAACAGACTGGGATTTGAGGAGATCTTCGACCAGGTTTTAACTACATTTTGCTTAATTTTGCACAAAAGAACTCAGAGTAAATGCTGTAAAACACTTTAACAGCCGGTATTGAACTGATATATGGAATTTTCTCTTAAACAGTGTTGATCTGTTGGTGCTGGTGACTATTATTAGTGGATTAAATCATAATTTAAAGCCCTATTTTAGTGTATAAAATCAACCAACTGCTGTCCCTTTTACTTAATAAACTGCTCACATTTTTTAAATGGCATTTGTCATGAAGATTTTAAGTATTCTTCATGATGTTGTTACATGGTTTTCATATCCTAAAATAACCAAATAACATCTTAGATTAAAAATGTTGAGTTTTTTCCTCGGTAAACTCTATTTTAAGATCAATATTTTTGGGGGAATTAAAAGAGTTTAAGTTTTCTTCATGCTGTTTTAAATGGTTTTCTAATTCTAAATAATACAATAATCAACCAATGAGCATCTTAGATTCAAAATGGTGAGCTTTTTCTTTGGTAAAAAAAAATCATTTTGAGAGTCAATTTTGTTCAGGAATTAATACATTCTGATGATTTTGGTGAGGAAATACCATTAGGCTCTTATACTGGATTGATGTGTTGAACTTCAACTTGTTATATATTTTCTTTTTCCTCAGTTTAAGAACATCAACAAGGGGAAGAAGACGAACATCATCGACTCGATGCTGCGGATGTTGGAGCAGTACTCCTCGAACCTGGAGGAGCTGATCCGAGAGAGGACGGAGGAACTGGAGATCGAGAAGCAGAAGACGGAGAAGCTGCTCACCCAGATGCTTCCTCCGTGAGTCCACGAGAAGAAACGTCTTCTAGCAGTTATTCTGGCAGTCGTATTTTGACCTAGTAATAATAATAATAAGTTAAATATATATATATGTTTAATTTAAAACACACACACGCCTACAGATTAAAAACACAGATGGTTTGACTCTTTCTCTATTGTATAGGTACAACAGAAATAAAAATAAAAAGATAATAGTTATAAAAACGTCATAATTCTAATAAATGTTAGACGATTAAAATATTTTAAAAAACGAACTTAAAAAGAAATTTTGCTATTGAAACTGTTAAATAAATAGTTTCAGTTAACCTACAGAAAACACACCTACAGATGCTTTGACTGTGTCTCTCTGCTGCAGGTCTGTGGCTGAGGTTTTGAAGGTTGGAGGCACAGTGGAGCCGGAGCACTTTGACAAAGTGACGCTTTACTTCAGCGACATCGTGGGCTTCACCACCATCTCCGCCAACAGCGAGCCCATCGAGGTGGTGGACCTGCTCAACGACCTCTACACAGTGTTTGACGCCATCATAGGAAACCACGACGTCTACAAGGTGCTCAGCTTCAATCTGTTCATATGAATACAGGAAATCAGTCAAGGCAATAACACTGGCAGAGAACACAAATATGCTCCCAGAAATATTCAACACCATTAACTTTCAAAGTAATTATTGGGGTATTTAAGCCTTAATTTGGTTAGTACAAATATAAAGATGATGGTAAATGAAACATAATGTAAACTACAGACTGGTTTGTAAAGTTCTCCCAACACCTAAAATACACTTTCATTAAGGAGAAGAAAGGAAACAAAATATGTGAGGACACTAGAGAAAAAGGAGATGTCAATAAACATAAAACACAAGTGCATGCTGGACAGTAAACAATATAGAGATGACTTAAAGTGGACCTATCATGCTATATTTGAATAATATAGTGTAGGACCATACCTATATAAGGCATATTTATACTTTTTTTTTTTCAAAATACCAAACAGATCATGCATTTTAGCCATGCCTCATTTTGCTCAATTTGACATTTTTTAGCTCTGTTTTTGCAAGGGCAGATTCTGTGAGAACAGCACCATCTACAGGCCTGGCATATGTACTACAGCGTCTCCAGCGCTTTCGAACGGCAATGGCCGTGGCTGTCTCCTCCTGATTGGTGGAGTTGGCCCAATAGCCGTAGCGCCACCGTCCTGACGTCAGGACAGTGTTCAAATCTGGATCAGTTTTTATCAGATCCGTTGCAGCCCCTTTTTTAGAGATTTGGGTATGGAGGAAAATAGAGAGGGTTGTGTTTTCTGACACTTGGTGAGTTCCCTGGAACACCGGGGACACATATTCATGTATAAAAGACGTACAAAAGTGCATTTTGCATGATAGGTCCCCTTTAAAATGCACCGAATATAAAGCAGTGACTGTAGTTTCCTTTAAGGAGAAGGAAAGGAAACAACAGAGGACAGGAAATGAGAAAAGGATCTACAAGAACTCACTCAGGTTCCACCTTTCTATAATCATGAATCATGAACAATCTCTTCTAGGTGGAGACTATCGGCGATGCGTACATGGTGGCGTCGGGACTTCCTGTCCGTAACGACGACCGCCACGCAGCAGAGATCGCCAACATGGCGCTGGACATCCTGAGTGCCGTGGGAACTTTCAAAATGAGACACATGCCCGACGTTCCTGTCAGGATCCGGATAGGACTGCACACAGGTAAGGCAGGAAGTAGGGAAAGAAAGAAATGCAAAAATGACTGGGGGTGTTTCTCAATGTCGAGTACGCTTGCTTGGTAGCACATGTCTGCCGAGCATCTTGCTTCAGAAGCGAGGCAAGAATACTTCCTGCCATTCGGAAAACAAAGAGTGGAACAGGCTAGCAAGTGTGCAGGTGTGCGTCATATGAGAGGCCCCGCCTTACATCTTCCGCCACAGATTTGGGGAAATTGGTCCGTGCGCAAAGCATTGTGGGGATTTTAAGAACGCGGAGTCTACTCATGTGCAGACTCGATATTTCTCCAAACGGAGTACGCCGGGCTCGGTAGATTTCCAAGTATGCTGGAGATTGGAACAGTACTTCGGCGGCACTCGATGACGTAGTATGCTTGAAATAGTGGCTCTGCAGCAGCTTTACTCGCGATTGAGAAACACCCTGGGTCAAAAAAATATAAAGCCTATATATGTTTAATTGAATTAATTTGGATTTAATTATGAATGTCATATTTAGATGTATATATCTGTTGGGTGTGTGTTACAGGTCCCTGTGTAGCAGGGGTTGTGGGTCTCACTATGCCTCGCTACTGTCTGTTTGGAGACACCGTCACCACTGCGTCTCGTATGGAGTCCACAGGGCTGCGTAAGTACAAAATAACACAGTTTATGAGTTAAAATCAAGCAGCTATTTCATAATCATGTCACTTATTTGTCAGCCTACAGGATCCACATCCACCAGAGCACAGCCAAGGTGCTGCGGGATTTAGATGTCGGCTACAAGATCGAATTGAGAGGAAAGAGTGAAATAAAGGTACAGTATAGACCAGCGGTTCCCAACCTGTGGGCCGCGGACCCCTAGTGGTCTGCGAAGGCATTGCAAGTGGGCCACCAAATCATTTTCAAAATATTATGATTTGTGTGAAAACATTTCATTATTACGATTTCTTTTTATTTGAACCTCCTGTCCTTTCTCTTTCTTGGTCCTCCTTAGCAACGGTCATTACAGTCCTTGACAGCGGTCTGTTCTACTGGATTAACAACGTGTCACATGTTCTAAATTGACCAATCAGAATCGAGTATTCAACTAAACCGTGTAATACAAATGTCTGTTTGTTACTGATGGCCAGCTCCTTTTCTAATTGAAATAAAAAGTACCCTGAGAACTTTATGTATCTTCCATATTGTTTATGGTTGAATGTGGGGCGCGAAAAACAATCACAAAGCATACATAACAAAAATAAACACATAGGTACATATTTTAACTACATAACAGATGACAAATACGAAAATAAATAGTAATAATAATATTACAAATAAAAGAATGGATACATTATTAATACTCAGGTATACATTCATTATATTGTTCTATACTTGACCCATGTTTCCCACCTTTCCTCAAAGATGTGCCTTTGGTTTCTAATCTAGTTGTTTTCTCCATTACATAGATTTCATTTACTAAGTTACTCCATTGTGAGTTTATTAAGTTATTATCTTTTAGCCAATTCCTTTTCATTTGTTTGCTATTCTAATGACCAGAAATAGATAGGAATCTTTTTTTTGTATTTCCTCTGGTGTTTTCCCCATGGGGATAATGGGTTTTTGTTGAGAGAAATGCCAAAGATATTGGACATTTCTCTTAAAACAATAGTCTGTTAAAACCTCTATGTGTCTCTTTTTGTCAGGGTAAAGGAGTCGAGGAGACGTACTGGCTCGTAGGGAAAGAAGGATTCAACAAACCTCTACCTGTTCCTCCAGAGGTCAAGAGCAGGTAGGAATAAAGTCAATTTCTCTTAAATGTTCTTAATATTTTTCCCTCTTTCCTACCATAACACATCATCTACTTTACTGTCCTGCAAGATTACAAATCATCCCCAAGAAATTCTCCTTGTTAAGCAATCTCATCTCAATCTCATCTGCTAGACCAGCGGTTCCCAACCTTTTTCAACTCAGGGCCCACTTAAGAATCAAAATGCGTGGCCCACATTCAACCATAAACAACACGGAGGCTAAATAAAGTTCTCAGGGTACTTTTTATTTTAATTAGAAAAGGAGCTGGCTATCAGTAACAAACAGACATTTGTATTACACAGTTCAGTTGAATGCTCGATTCTGATTGGTCAATTCAGAACATGTGACACGTTGTTAATCCAGTAGAACAGACCGCTGTCAAGGACTGTAATGACCGTTGCTAAGGAGGATCAAGAAAGCAAAAGGAAAGGAGGTTCAAATAATTAAAAAAAACATAATAATGAAATGTTTCGACACAAATCATAATGTTTTGCAAATTATTTGGCGGCCCACTTGCAATGCCTTCGTGGACCACTAGGGGGCCGCGGCCCACAGGTTGGGAACCGCTGCACTAGACGTTTGAGCAGTGGCGGATATGTATAATCAAAATAACTACACAAATTAATCAACAATATCACAAAATATACATGAATATAAAAATAGTAGGAAACATACATCAAAAAATGAAAAGACATATGAGCTATAGAATGAAAATACTAAATTGCACAAATCTTTCAACACACAAACCGAACAGAACACACGTTAAATAACTTATTTACAGACTTAGGCATCTCTATAGTTAAACTCCCAAACTGCCCTCTAAAGTCTGACCTTCCTTGCCTTCTTTGATGCAGTTAAATAAAGCTTTCATTTCAGTATGCACAGTATAGGCCTATTACTTTTTCAGAATAGGAACTGTTAGAACAATAACACAACTTCCTACACTAATTATTTCTTGGCATAACATCTGAGTATTGACTGCGTTCAAACGTTGGTAGAAAACAGTCCCTGGCTTCTTATTATATTGCTTATCTACAGTATATGGTCTGATGGTGCATTTGTCTTATTGCTGCAAAAACAGATCAGTAAATATCAGGCTTTGGTGTCAGAATCAAAGAAGCGAGTTATTTTTAAAGTTGTCATTTGCACAGACTTTTAAAAAGGCAGAGAGACCATATATTTGTATACTGAAATATAAGAAAAAAGACTTGTCGGTGTCAAAAACAGAATAAGAAAAGCGAGGTATTGCTAAAGTTAGCATTTGCACAGACTCTCAAAACTTGCATTGAGATTATTTCTTTGAAAAAAGGCAGATACACCAAATATTTTGATGCTCAAATATAAAAACAAAGACTTTCATCCTTTTACATCTCTACAGGGAAATGGCCCAGAGTCTGCAGATGGCTGAAATCGCTCTGAACAAGAAACGGAAAGCCGAGAAACTAAAACAGGAACAGCTGGCAAAGAAGAAATAATGAGGTTATGATACAGTGTGCATTTGAAGATATATCTTAAAGGGGACCTATCATGCAAAATGCACTTTTGTACGTCTTTTATACATGAATATGTGTCCCCGGTGTTCCAGGGAACTCACCAAGTGTCAGAAAACACAACCCTCTCTATTTTCCTCCATACCCAAATCTCTAAAAAAGGGGCTGCAACGGATCTGATAAAAACTGATCCAGATTTGAACACTGTCCTGACGTCAGGACGGTGGCGCTACGGCTATTGGGCCAACTCCACCAATCAGGAGGAGACAACCACGGACATTGCCGTTCGAAAGCGCTGGAGACGCTGTAGTACATATGCCAGGCCTGTAGGTGGTGCTGTTCTCACAGAATCTGCCCTTGCAAAAACAGGGCTAACAAATGTCAAATTGAGCAAAATGAGGCATGGCTAAAATGCATGAAAAAAAAAGTATAAATATGCCTTATATAGGTATGGTCCTACACTATATTATTCAAATATAGCATGATAGGTCCACTTTAAGTTCGAGTCATGACTCTATAAACCCCAAAAGACATGATCGACGAGGGCCATCATGAACGACAGAGGCTATTGAAAGTGTTAATTCAGATTATCCCAGTGTGTGTGTGTGTGTGTGTGTGTGTGTGTGTGTGTGTGTGTGTGTGTGTGTGTGTGTGTGTGTGTGTGTGTGTGTGTGTGTGTGTGTGTGTGTGTGTGTGTGTGTGTGTGTGTGTGTGTGTGTGTGTGTGTGTGTGTGTGTGTGTGTGTGTGTGTGTGGTGACTCAGCAGAGCAGGGATCTACAGAAAGTGTCTGTCAGCAGCAGATAATCTCTCTCCTTCATTTCCTCCTCCGTCGCTTCACCGTGTCTCCGTTTGACGAGGAGAGGAAATTAAGAAGGGAAGGAGGCGAGGAGGAGAGTATGGATGAATCTGGGATGTTTGTTTTGTGGTGCTACGGTTTCAATATTGGAAAAACCCAAATATTCTCCCAGAAATAATCAACACCACTTACTTTAAGAAGTACTTATTGGGGTATTTAAGCTTTAATTTGGTTAGATAAACTACAAAGAGGATGCTAAATGAAACCAAATGTAAACTAGAGACTGGTTTGTAAAGTACACCAAACATACATTATTATTAAAGGTGGGGTAGGTAAGTTTGAGAAACCGGCTTGAGATACACTTTTTGTTATATTCCATGGAATGCTCTTAACATCCCGATAGCAATGAATATTTTAAGTGCTTTGACAAAAAATCCATAAAAAAATGTCATCTGTGGAAGCCGTAGTACTGTAAAAAGTACGACCAATCATCTGAGCCGGCCCGGCTAAAATAACTGGATGGCCTACCTGCCTGTCAGCCTTCCATCGGGGCACAAACTTATCTCGTGCCATCATTGGTCATGTGCGCGTTCGTGTGTGTTGGAGGAGGGGCTCTATAAGGAAGTGGCAGATTTTCTCCGGTTGTGTATTTTCAAATTCTAGCGATCTCGAGCTGGTTTCTCCGAAATTACCTACCCCACCTTTAAGGAGAGGAAAGGAAACAAAAGACGTGAGGAAACTAGAGAAAACAGAGATGTCAATAAACATAAAAACAAGTGCATGCTGAATAGTAAACAATAGAGAGGTGACTCAAAATACACCAAATATAAAGCAGTGACTCAAGTTTTCTTTCAGGAGAAGGAAAGGAAACAACAGAGGACAGGAAACGAGAGAAGGATCTTAAAGTGTGTGACTGATAATAACAGATTGTGGTCACTTTGAACCGGGTGACTCCTTTGAGAGTCTGTTGCTATTTTGTTTACAAAGTTGGATTTGGGGACTTCCTCTTACTGTCTGTTGTCAATAACAACATCTTGTTTAATCTTACTTTTTAAAATGATTGAGTTATCTTCAACTCTTCAAATCATCTTGATGTGCAACATAACTTTTCTTCTAAAAATGTTCCCCCTTTGTTGTAGTGTTTTCTTTAATTATAAATAAAGTTTATTTTGTGCATACAGTTGGAATAATCCTTGTACTGTACATGTCGCTGTGTGTGTCTCACATTAAAGTGAATCAATGATGTGATTTGTAAACTAACCCACAGCGCCCCCTAGCGATGTAACAGAAAATAAACTTTGTTCAAACTACAGATGGCACCCTGGAAGATCTGCAGGATTATCCCTTCTGATCGTGTGTGTGTGTGTGTGTGTGTGTGTGTGTGTGTGTGTGTGTGTGTGTGTGTGTGTGTGTGTGTGTGTGTGTGTGTGTGTGTGTGTGTGTGTGTACACTATAAACTGTAGTTTACAGTACCGCACTTTCATATATGTTCAAACTGACTCCCACTCACACACACTGTCGATTCTATCAAGGAATAAAAGGCTAAAACTCCTTCCTTAGAGAAAACTCCCCTCACATTAAAAAATGCACAAAATGCATTAACGTGCTTTAACCACTAGGCGGTGCGGGTTAAAAAAACAGTGGTCTAGTTAATAAAACATAATAATATCAGCGATTGAAATTCTGATTCCATAGATGTGTCTCCCATCACCCAAAACCCCTGACTATTCTCTCAACTCAGTATTTACATTCTTATATTCAAAGAAAATCAGTAATATCTTTAAAAACTAGTCCCTAGTCCCTTTCTATCAGCTGTGCACCGTTATGGTGTAAATATAACCTATCTACCAATTGGATCAAATATAAAAGTCAGCCGAATAAGTGTTGATACTGCAAGGAGACGTATTGTGTGAAAAGAAATGTAAGATGTTGTTTAATTGCTGATATATTTATGATCCACGTCAAGTTTTCAGTTTCGGCGGCAGTGCTTCCAGTTTGTCCAGAAGTCTTCTCATCAGGGCTCTATAAATACAGAACTACGGCAGATATGTAATATTTAATGCAGCCGAACCGTGTATTACAATGCCGTTATGTGATGACTTCCAAAGAGAAAAGCAAGAACACTCGGAATAAAGTATTATTTTTTTATGTTTTCCGATTTCATATCGCATAAACACCAAATCCCGACGTGCATTGCGGCTAAAACATCCAGGATTATGGGTAGTTCGATGTTTTAGCCTATCAAAACCTCTGAAAAAAGAAATGTGCCTCTCAGAATCTAAAGGGAAAAACCTATGGGAAAAACACAAAAGCATTGTACACAATTTAAACCAATTAATGTCGTGTAATTAACAAGGATAAACTGATGGTTTTTACACCAACGCACTACTCCACTGCGCCACACGCCACGTCTTCTTCCTCTGTTCTCTTTAGTGTTTACTTCCTGTCTATCTTCTTCTGTTCATTTCTCTGATGTCTTTTGAAATCTTTCCTTCTCATGCGCTCTTTTTTTATTTTCTTTACTAGGGGCAGTTCAGCCATCATGAATCCAACGTTTTGTGCTGTACACAAATATAAAAATGATGCATGGTGTATCTGATGGAGAAAAAAGATTGTTGTGCACATCTGGCGATAAATTGACCGGACTTCTTTCTGTGGATTGATATGACTGCACATAGTCCCCTGATCCTCTTGTAGCTACGGTCTGTTCTCATTAGCAGCGGTCTCTTAGACAAACATCAACAACCTCTGGTTGACCAATGAAAATTGAGTATTCAACTAAGCTGTTTGTTGATACAAGTTTATACGATTGTTTAAGAACAATTACCGTTTATTCAGTCTACTGTAGACCATTTCACTTTTATTTTTAATCAAAGTGTTTATAGACATTAGAGCATCAAGAGTTCCAAGCATAAAAAGACAAAATGACTCTTTAGAACAATTGTGTAAATAGGTTCGATCAAAACGAAAAAACAACAACAAAAACAGCTGATTTAAAAGAAAATATTTTTCTTTTTGAGGTGTTTCTCTTCTCTGGTGGAGATATTTCAAATGCTTCAAACTGTGCTTCAGTTTTGAATCCGGCCCTCTGATTGGCATCCAATCTGGAAAGGCACAGACAAAAGGTATTAATTCAATAATGTAAAACTGATCAAATATAGTTAAAATAATGAGCCGTCCGAGAATAGCACTTACATAACGATGATCATAGCTCGTACAACCTAGAAAGAATCCAATAACAACAGAACAGCAGTGAATATTTCAGAACATAATCTTTTTCACACAAACTGCTCTAATTGAATTCTCATTCACTAAAGTTTGCATGTCTACCCTAGTGTTAAAGAAGTCCAAGAAAATGTGTAAAAATCTGTATTTTTACAAGTTATTAAGGTCGGGCTACAGTACACATTATTTGCCAACTTTAAGACCCAAAAAATAGAGATAATTTTAAAATATTTTTTTACCAACTCTGTTTCCTGCTTTCTGGTGAATTTTATTTAACACAAATATCAAAATAAGTGAAGTGTAACAGTATTGACATTACAATACATGTTCTTAAGTTTGAATTCTTGTTCTGTGTGAAAATGACTCCGTATACTTACAGGCGGAAGAATACATTCTTCCATGAATGCATTGAACACGGCGGGTCCTATCAATCCAAATACACGGAATAAACTTCTGCAGTCCTTCCTTTATGTATTCAACTGCAGATAGTTTAATATCGTACATAGTCGTTTGAGCAGGATCTATGACACAGAAAGCCGCTGCACAGAAAGAAAAACGTATGTATAATTACTCTGGTAATATTTGTTGGTGATATATTTTTAGGAACAAAAACTTGTCGTTATGACTTGTGTATACCTTTGCAGGATGGTGGTTCTGTCCACGTGCCATTGCTTTGACACGTCACAATGTCTGGACCCTCGAGTGTGTACAATTCATTACATCGGTATTTCAAAGATATTCCGTTCACTTGCACAACATCTCCGTTTGGAACACTTGGGTAGTCTCCACAGTTGGCATCTAAAATCAAAAAGTGGCTTTTTAATATTGTCATTTAATTTTAAAAACAGGCCGGTCAACATTAACGTGTTAACGCTTGAGATTTATCTGGAAACCTAAACGTTGCTAGTGGAGCCTCGCAGCGGCGAAACTGTGGCGCGCTTACACTGTAGGAAGTGCGCTCCAAAATATTTGTTGCTCTTGTTTATTGGTATTTATTATTTTGATATTATTTATTTAAAGTTTTTCAGTTGAATTATACGTTCAGGGTAATCAACAGTTAAAAAGATACTGTTCAAATTATTATTTGTATTTGTTTTAAAGTTCAATAAATGGATGTTTTCAAAGTCAATGAATAATCGTATTTAATAATCGTGATATCAATTATTGACCAAAATAATCGTGATTATGATTTTTGCCATAATCGCACAGCCCTAATTCATAGTGCTCAGAGCAGCAACATTACAATTTGTTGGTATAAAATAAACATTGTGAAATCAGAAAGAAAAAAATGCTGCAAACAGGCAATCTGACCTCTCAAAGCCTATTAGTACTACTGTTTTAACTTAAATGGAATTAATTGTTCAATGATTATCAAATAGTTTTAATTCAATCTATATCTTGGGAATTAATTGTGCTGTTGTTGGAGACATTCAGAGCTTGACCTGCCATGCCTAGTTGGTTTGTTATGCTCTCTTTGGACAGTTGCTGTCAAGGGAGGTGTTAAGAGAGAGGTCAACTGTTTCCTTCTGCATTTCATAAAAAGTATTTTAATCTCAGAAAATGGTCTACTCACTGCACGTTGGGCCTTCAGTCCAGTTGCCTGAGATGCAAGTGATTGTTTTGGTGTCTGATCCCTCTGCAGTATATCCATCTTCACATTGATACTGAACCGTTGAATCATTTACAAACACCTCCTGGTATTCCCGATTAATGATGACTGCATGGGGGATTTTAGGGGGCTCAGCACATGATTGAGTAATCTCTGTGAAAATAAGATCATATGTTATTAAAAAAGAAGAGGTTAGGAATGAGTGGTTGAAATGATTGGTGTAGCGTGTGAGAACCCAAACGTCATAATTGTGTATTCACTTTACAGCTAGATAGAGACTGACTTTCTCTGACAGACTGGAACAGAGGACCATTTTCTATTTACACACTGGCCTGTTTTTGGATTCATATCCTTCATCACATGTTATCCTGATTGTTTGTGTGTCTTTATACCAACTACTTTGGTTTTCGATATAATTTGCATTGGGTATATCTGGCAGGCTTGTTCATCTGAGGATGAAAAAGAAACAAAAAAGTAGGAGAAAAAGTGCCCAAAAGGCTCAATATTGAATTAAAAAAAACTATTTTATTATCATGTCAGTCTATAAACTATTTATATTTGTAAGTGTAATTGTTTTAGATATGTTCAACTTTTAGCTTTCTAACTTATTTTAGTAACTTATTAAGCTGTGCCTTCTCTAAACTTTCTTATTGGGAGAGATTTTGTTAGTTTATTTCACCCTTGAGTTCTGCTATTTGCATTCAAGCCACCGCTGCGCAGCAACCGCACGTGCCTTGTTTACATAAGGGAGAAGCCAATCGTCCTAACGCTAGCTAGCATGGTGGCTATCCCCACTAAAATCCGTAGAACGACAAAGAGGATGCTTGGTAAACTGAAGAGACGAAGGAGGCGAGCTGGGACCAGATTTATAGAAAACATTTGATATAAACTGCGTCTCCCCCCTCTCCTCATGGTCAAAATAAAATCACTGGCTAATAGTGGACAAGCTACCAGCGGCAGCCAGGGGTCAGACAGAATATCTGGAGTGTAGTTTAATGTGCTTAACAGAAACATGGCTGCACCAGGATATATCTGAGGGCTGCGTTTCCATTGAAAGCTTCCGGACTGTTTGGGCTTCACAATAACTTCACCATGTCTTCATCTTGAGAGGGACTCTGTGCTGTGGAAGACGTCCTGCCTCGTTCCTGTGGCTGAGACGCTGTGTCCCAGGCTACAAGAACTCTAATGCACATTTTACTTCAACTTATGTTAATATATCAAATGTTTTTTATGGTGCAACTTTCACGAAACTTAATTCACCCCCTGGGATATATAAAGTATTTTGATAGATTAAATGACTGATTGATTATTTCCAAAGATTTATTAAAGCAACTAACATCTTAAAGCTAAATCAGAATTTTCATGTATTTTTTATTGTTTGAAAAAATACCTGAAAGGTGACAGACACCAACCAGTGTCTCAATCAAACAAACAAGGGGACGTAATATAGAAAACGTACCTATACATTGGGGTTTAGGAGACCAATTGCCATTTTGACACCTGCTGGTCCCCCACCAGCCCTTCCCTGCTGGTTTAAGTCCGTCATGACAGGCATAACTGAGCGTGGCTTCATGATTATAAGCTGATTGTCCAGGGGAAAAAAACCCGCCATTCAGACTGGGAGCAGGACAAGGCTGAGCTGCACTTTGTGCTGAAATATAACGACAAACATAACTGTCAAATAATATATATCCAGACAAATTAAGAAGTTTTTAAGTAACAGAGTTGAATTTCCTTACCATGCAGCACTTGTGGATTCCAAACCAGGAGAAGAAAAACAAGATATCTCACGCACATTTCGTCAGGAATGAAATAATGAAGCCAAACGGGTTTTCAGTTAAGATCAGGACCAGTTAATAATTGTTGAGGGCAATCAGCCAAAAAGCAAAGAAGTTAAGAAATAGTAAACATTCAGCTGAGTTACAGTCATCATGCTGTACACACAAACAGCCTCCGTGGACTTCAGTATCCAATATTGATGCTGAATATCATTTGGAATCATACCCTTACTTATTTTGTGAACAATTATTAGAAGTGAGCACCAGTACTCTGTAATTTCCTGTTCAAGGACACATTTTATGATGAGAAACATTCTGTATCTCATATATTTTTATCTACATCTGAAAGTTAGGATTCCATTACCGACTGTATCTGAGTGTTGAATGCAGCGCTTGTTAAGTCAATAAAAGCAATTTGGCTATAACTTCATTATCAGAATATAACATAATAATATACATTTTCCATTATCGATGAAGCCATTAGAACCACATCATCTGCAAAAAGCAGTGGTGCAATCCTTAGCCCACCGAACTGCAGACCCCCTCCCCCACGACTACGCCTCAAAATCCTATCCATGAATATTACAAACAGGATTGGTGACAAAGCGCAGCCCTGGCGGAGGCCAACCCTCACCGGAAATGTGACTTACTGCCGAGGACCCGGACACAGCTCTCGCTTTGGGAGTACAGAGATTGGATGGCCCTGAGTAGAGACACCCTCACCCCATACTCATACAGGGGGGCCGTTCCTCCCAATCACGCCCCTCCAAGTGTCTCCATCATTGCCCACATGTGCGTTGAAGTCTCCCAGCAAGACTAAGGAGTCCCCTTCAAGAGCCCCATACAGGACTCTTTTCAGGGTCTCCAAGAAGGCTGAATACTCTGAACTGCTGTTTGGTGCATAAGCACACACAACAGTCAGAGTTTTCCCCCCCATAACCCGTAGGCGTAGGGAGGCGACCCTATCGTCCACTGGGGTAAACTCCAACAAAGAGGCACCCAACCGGGGGCTTGTGAGTATCCCCACACCCGCCGGGCGCCTCACACCTTGGGCAACTCCGGAGAAGAATAGAGTCCAACCCCTATCCAGAAGTAAGGTTCCAGAGCCGACGCTGTGCATAGAGGTGAGCCCAACCAGATCCAACTGGTAACGCTCCACCTCCCGCACAAGCTCCGACTCCTTCCCCCCCAGAGAGTTGACGTTCCACGTCCCCAAGGCAAGACCCTCTGCTTTCACTGCCACCCTTCTGGCAGCGCACCCGACCCCATCGCGGTTTCCCGTAGGTGGTGGGCCCGCGGGACGGAGACGCGGAGGTGTTGCCCACGTTGCCTTTTCGGGCTGTGCCCGGCCACCAGACGCTCGCTGACGAGTCCCCTTCTGGGCCTGGCTCCAGAAGGGGACCCCGGGCTTCCTCCGGGCCAGGTCTTTGAACCAATTTTAGTCTGGCCCCTTGCCTGAGACCAATTTGCCATGGGAGACCCTACCAGGAACACAAGGTTCCAGACAACACAGCCCCCAGGTTCATCAGGGCACACAAACCTCTCTACCACGGTAAGGTGCTGGTTCTTCAGAGAGGACCCTGACTTGCTTAATAAGAATTTTGTTTTCTTCTAACAATTTAAGTGTTTTGTGTTCAGTAACATTTCTACATAAAGTGTATTTTTAATGTATTTAAATATTTTCATAGTCTAGTAGAGACATTTTCTAATGCTTTTCACTATTTGAAATGGCCATGCATCAAGTTTATTTTATTATTATTTCTAATTATTGTTGAATCAGTAGTTGACTTCACCTTAAATTCTGCCATATTTGGTTAGACCATGGAAGCCATTTCATTTTGGACAAGGGTCATTTGTAACATCTTATAATTCACCAATCCATAATGACACAGAACTAATAAAAAGTATTCTTATTGGCGCATTTCTCAGTAAATTGTCAACTTACTGCACGTTGGGCCTTCAGTCCAGTTTCCTGAGATGCAAATGATTGTTTTGGTGTCTGGTCCCTCTGCAGAATATCCATCTTCACAATTATACTGCAGTTGTGAGTTTACAGCAAACACCTCCTGGTATCCCTTACCAATGATAACTGCATGGGGGATTTTAGGGGGATCACCACATGATTCGGTACTCTCTGAAAATGAGAAAATAAATAAGAGATAGCAAGGAAAAAGTGTCTCGATGTAGAGTTCTATGATTCTTAGAGTTGGTGACATTGATTTTAAGATTTAGACAAGGATTTGATTCTGACAACTGTTGTTTTTTTGTTTTTTTTGACTGACTTACTTACTTTCACAGATTGGGACAGAGGACCATGCTCCGTTTATACACTGCGCTGTGGCGTCACGGCCTTTGTGTTCATATCCTTCGTCACATCTTACCCAGATTCTGTCTCTCTCCCCATACCAACCATCTGTGCTTGCATCATAGTTTCCATTTGGGATAGTCAGTGGCACACAGGCTTTTTCATCTGAGTTGAAAAATAAATTAATAACATTTGAAATAAAGTGCAGCACACGACAGCTCCTATGCATTGTCCTTTATTCAGTGGACGTTAGGACCCCCAAATACTTTTTCAAGATCAACAATGAAGAAAAAATGATACCATCTTGACAGTCTTTTCATTTTTAAAAAGCCATTATTTGAGTGAACAATATCTCTACGGTTGTATTAACCCTTATGTTGTGTTATGGGTCTCCCGTGACCCGTTTCAAGTTAAAATTATATAATAACTACGCTCTAGTTTTTTTTATCGGAACAAGGCTTCATGATATCCTCCACAACAGATATATAAACAATACAAAACTACGGTGGCCCGGAAGTGCAAGACACCACAGCATTTCAGAAAACACCACAGCATTTCAGAAAACACTACAGCATTTCAGAAAACACTACAGCATTTCAGAAAACACCACAGCATTTCAGAAAACACAACAGCATTTCACAAAACACAACAGCATTTCAGAAAACGCCGCAGCATTTCAGAAAACACAACAGCATTTCACAAACACAACAGCATTTCACAACAGCATTTCACAAAACACAACAGCATTTCACAAAACACAACAGCATTTCACAAAACACAACAGCATTTCACAAAACACAACAGCATTTCACAAAACGCCGCGGCATTTCACAAAACACAACAGCATTTCACAAAACACAACAGCATTTCACAAAACACAACAGCATTTCACAAAACGCCGCGGCATTTCACAAAACACAACAGCATTTCACAAAACACAACAGCATTTCACAAAACGCCGCGGCATTTCACAAAACACAACAGCATTTCACAAAACACAACAGCATTTCACAAAACACAACAGCATTTCAGAAAACACCACAGCATTTCACAAAACACAACAGCATTTCACATTGGACGGAAAGGGTATTCCTTTAGGGAGAACACTTCTTGTTTGTGATTGGACAGAGCCAGCCAGAGAAGCACTGCTGTGATTGGTTGTTTTTGCTGCCAGTCAAGAAATGACGCTTCGTGATCGGTCAGCAGCCGACAGCGCAACATGTCCGAACACATCAACCGTTAGCTGTTAGCACTCAGAGCTCACAGCTCCTCATATCTGTTCAGAAACTGGACAAAAGTTAAACAAGTACAAACCACAGACTGTCTATGTCATGGCGAATACAGTCGCTGCTTTATTTATGTCTGTATGACGCTGTTGTGAGTGTGGACGGAGCAGCTACAGGTTAGTTTAGCCTGATCGATCCGCCCCCTCTCCAGCACGTCTTGTTTGAATGACAGGAGTAAACACTGACAGCTGCAGTGAAACTCGAGCGATTAGAGCGATGCAAAAAAAACATGAATTAATGCTTTATTAATTCATGGTTTTTAAGGGGCTTATCTCCATGTAAATACTATGGTAGACTACCCAATATTCGCATCGCTCTAATCGCTCGAGTTTCACGGCGGCTGTCAGCTGTGTTTGCTCCTGTCATTCAAACAAGACGCGCTGGAGAGGGGGCGGGGCGTATCTCCATGTAAATCCTATGGGAGATACCAACTACAACAAAATGAACATATTGACCGTGATTTAATTGTAATACACGTTTCAAAGTGATGCCGAAGTAACTACATACTGATACCGGTTAGTAAAAACCATGAATTAATGCTTTGACAAGTCTGCAGACAAGACGGCAGGCGAAAAGCTTTTAAAATGCTTGTTTTCTGAATGGAATCGGATCGATCAGGCTAAACTAACCTGTAGCTGCTCCGTCCACACTCACAACAGCGTCATACAGACATAAATAAAGCAGCGACTGTATTCACCATGACATAGACAGTCTGTGGTTTGTACATGTTTAACTTTTGTCCAGTTTCTGAACAGATATGAGGAGCTGTGAGCTCTGAGTGTGTGCTAACAGCTATATGTCCCAACACATCAGCCGTTAGCTGTGAGCACACACTCAGAGCTCACAGCTCCTCATATCTGTTCAGAAACGGGACAAAAGTTAAACAAGTACAAACCATAGACTGTATATGTCATGGCGAATACAGTCGCTGCTTTATTTATGTCTGTATGACGCTGTTGTGAGTGTGGACGGAGCAGCTACAGGTTCGTTTAGCCTGATGGATCCGATTCCATTCAGAAAACACGCATTTTAAAAGCTTTTCGCCTGCCGTCTTGTCTGCAGACTTGTCAAAGCATTAATTCATGGTTTTTACTAACCGGTATCAGTATTTAGTTACTTCGGCATCACTTTGAAACGTGTATTACAATTAAATCATGGTCAATATGTTCATTTTGTTGTCGAGTTTCACCGCAGCTGTCAGTGTTTACTCCTGTCATTCAAACAAGACGTGCTGGAGAGGGGGCGGATCGATCAGGCTAAACTAACCTGTAGCTGCTCCGTCCACACTCAACAGCGTCATACAGACATAAATAAAGCAGCGACTGTATTCGCCATGACATAGTCAGTCTGTGGTTTGTACTTGTTTAACTTTTGTCCAGTTTCTGAACAGATATGAGGAGCTGTGAGCTCTGAGTGTGTGCTAACAGCTAACGGTTGATGTGTTCGGACATGTTGCGCTCGGGTGCTGACCAATCACGAAGCGTCATTTCTTGACTGGCAGCAAAAACAACCAATCACAGCAGTGCTTCTCTGGCTGGCTCTGTCCAATCGCAAACAAGAAGTGTTCTCCCTAAAGGAATACCCTTTCCGTCCAATGTGAAATGCTGTGGTGTTTTGTGAAATGCTGTTGTGTTTTGTGAAATGCTGTTGTGTTTTGTGAAATGCTGTTGTGTTTTGTGAAATGCTGTTGTGTTTTCTGAAATGGTGTAGCGTTTTCTGAAATGTTGTTGTGTTTTGTGAAATGCTGTGGTGTTTTCTGAAATGCTGTTGTGTTTTCTGAAATGCTGTTGTGTTTTGTGAAATGCTGTTGTGTTTTGTGAAATGCTGTTGTGTTTTGTGAAATGCTGTGGTGTTTTCTGAAATGCTGCGGCGTTTTGTGAAATGCTGTTGTGTTTTGTGAAATGCTGCGGCGTTTTGTGAAATGCTGCGGCGTTTTCTGAAATGCTGCGGCGTTTTGTGAAATGCTGTTGTGTTTTCTGAAATGCTGTTGTGTTTTCTGAAATGGTGTGGCGTTTTCTGAAATGCTGTTGTGTTTTCTGAAATGCTGTTGTGTTTTCTGAAATGCTGTTGTGTTTTCTGAAATGCTGTGGCGTTTTCTGAAATGCTGTGGCGTTTTCTGAAATGCTGTTGTGTTTTCTGAAATGGTGTAGTGTTTTCTGAAATGCTGTTGCGTTTTCTGAAATGCTGTTGCGTTTTCTGAAATGCTGTTGCGTTTTCTGAAATGCTGCGGTGTTTTCTGAAATGCTGTGGTGTTTTGTGAAATGCTGTGGTGTCTTGCACTTCCGGGCCACCGTACAAAACAGATTTTGACCATTTTTGACAAGTCTGAAGGTCTCTAAAAAAAAAAGTGTATAATTTGGTATTCGGGTCTGGGGAGACCCAGCAGAATTGTTTTGGGTGACTCGAGGTCAAATTTGGCCCAATCAAGATTCATCTTTGACTTTAGACACCCCTCCCCCACCCCCTTCATCAACTGTAACAATAATTTTTCGCAACATGCACCTGGTCTCCCCGCCCTCTGTCCCCCTCCCCCCACGGGAACTCCACCTTTCTCAAAGAATATGTACACTCTAACACTTGAACCTGAACACACACATGCACGTGTGCAATATGTGGTGTAATGTGTTTTGGGCCATAACATTAAATTACAACAGGATTGTATGGTTATGAATGCATTATAAGTTAGTTATGATGTAGTTAAAACAATATTGGATGATAGTCTTTTTTGTGTGTGTTTTGGACTGAGTGGGTCATGGGTCAAAAGTGACCCGCGAACACCATGAACTGTCATAGTGTTATGTCACGGTTTTAGTTTTGTCTGTCTTGTAATGGGTTTTATTTTGCTATTCTGTTCTCCCTGTCTCTTGTTTTCCTTCCTGTGTTTTTCCTCCTGTGTCTGATTGTCTGATTGTGTTCACCTGTTGCCCTTGTGTTTCTGCCTCCCCTGCCCAGCTGTGTCTTGTCCTGTGATTACCCCTCTTTGTATTTAGTCTTGTCTTCCCCTGTGTTCCTTGTCGGTTCATTGTCTTTCCTGTCTCCTTCCATGTCGGTCACGGTCAGTTTTGGTGTTGTTGCTACCTTGTGCTACCTATGTGTTTCATGTTAAAGCTCGCTTTTTGTTTCTAGACCTTTTTACCTTTTCTTGTAGTCTGCATTTGGGTCCTACCTTTTCCACGCATTCTAACATGAACGGTAACAGCTTTTGAACACAACACAAGTTAAACCAAACATTATTGTAAAATGTAACCAGAACTCATATATTTATTTCATTGTTTTATATTAAATAAGTTCGGCACAAAATGAACCAGTATCTGAAATAAAAAGGAATCTTTGACAACTCTTTAAATGTTATCCTAAAATATGTGTGTGCCGCCGGGTTGTGTTGGTGTTTGTATAATTCATATCTGTTTGTTGGTGACATTGGTGAAGATGGATGGAGACATTTAACAAAAAGCTGACTAATGTACAACAAATATATCATTAAACATACCTGACATACAGGTACAAAAGCAGGACATTATCCTTTAAATCCCAATCAGAATGAAATGAAAATAAATCTTTGGGCAGTACTGAAAGGTTTTTCCAAAAGGTATAATAAAAAAAAGAAAAGTATAACACTGTACACTAAAAAACACAACGTAGAGTGGCTCATTTAAACAAACCACCAGAAAAACTATAGAAAACGTACCTATACATTGGGGTTTAGGAGACCAATTGCCATTTTGACACCTGCTGGTCCCCCACCAGCCCTTCCCTGCTGGTTTAAGTCCGTCATGACAGGCATAACTGAGCGTGGCTTCATGATTATAAGCTGATTGTCCAGGGGAAAAAAATCCGCCATTCAGACTGGGAGCAGGACAAGGCTGAGCTGCACTTTGTGCTGAAATATAACGACAAACATAACTGTCAAATAATATATATCCAGACAAATGAAGAAGTTTCAGAGTAACAGAGTTTAATTTCCTTACCATGCAGCACTTGTGGATTCCAAACCAGGAGAAGAAAAACAAGATATCTCAAGCTCATTTTGTCAGGAATGAAATAATGAAGCCAAACGGGTTTTCAGTTAAGATCAGGACCAGTTAATAATTGTTGAGGGCAATCAGCCAAAAAGCAAAGAAGTTGAGAAATAGTAAACATTCAGCTGAGATACGGTCATCATGCTGTACACACAAACAGCCTCTGTGGACTTCAGTCAGATCAGTCGCATTTTACAAAAGCACTTTGCTTTGTTGAGATCAACAGTGTGTACAGCTGTTTTTATCATTATCCCGCTTTGGTTCACACATTTATTTATTTTTATCAAATTAAATCCTAAACCTCCAATATTTATGCTAAATATCATTTGGAATCATACCCCTTACTTATTTTGTGATTTTGTTTTAGAAGTGAGCACTAGTTCTCTGGTGATTTCCTGTTCAAGGACACATGTTATGATGAGAAACATTCTGTATTGAGCTTCTTCTGCCTGCGATATGCTCCCAATCTCATGTTTTATTCATATTTTTATCTACATCTGAAAGTTAGTATTGCAAATTACGATTGTGTTGTCAAACCAACTTTAAAATTGCATTCCACTACCGACTGTATCTGAGTGTTGAATGCAGCGCTTGTTAAGTCAATAAAAGCAATTTGGATTTGTATTATGGTCCAAGAGTTTATCAACTATAACTTCATTATCAGAATATAACATAATAATATACATTTTCCATTATCGGCCGGAACATTGTCTTTACAGGATAATCCCATTTTATAAACACTAAAGCTGAACATTGTATCATCTAATGTACAGTATGACTACATTACCTCCATCTGCTCCTGGTGTTACTGGTTATGATTAAATAATAAGTACAGTGAGTTCCGGTTTGGCGAATGGCGGAGTAAGCTGCTAGTCGGAAGAGCTCTGTCACCATTTAACATTTATTTGTCATTTGCCCTACTGATTTCCCATCTAAACTTGCAAGGCCTGCTTCTAAGAGTGACTTTGACTTGGTTTCGACTGTACGCGGTTTGTCATGGGGAAGAAGACCAAGAAAAGCGACAACAATGAGAGCGACGGCGGGGGACGAGGAGGGCTGTGGGTTAGCTTCACAAGCTAGCAACAACTCCGCACATGGCGAGGCCGGCAACCAGGCGCTGTCTCTCTCTGACATACAGAAGCTACTCACCGGCATGGAAGAGCGTATAATTGGAAGCTTGACAGCACAAAAAACATCCAACCACCACGCCGCTATAATCAGGCACGATGAACAAACACCTCCCCTGAAATCTCTAATGCCACACTGTGGGAGACCCTTAAAGTTTACCTCAGAGGGCATAGTATAGTTTACTCCTCTAGAATCAATAGAGGAAAATATTCAAAGCTACAAGAGATACCCCATCAAATCGCGATTATTGACTCGAAATATGTTCTATCTCCAACCCCAGATCTTTATAAGGAGCGTCTAAAACACGACGGTGCGGGACACACCAATCTGAGTAGGTCGACAGGACGCTCATCGACGGCCAGACATCTATCGACATCTATCGACGGCCGAAATCGGCTTGGTGTGGAGGGGCCTTAACTGAGCTCCAACAATCTGTGCGTGTCGTGTAGAGCTGAGATTATGGAGGATTTGCGCTGTTATCCAGGCGTTAATGCCAGTGTGTATGGTTTGCAGGAAGAGGTCAATATAGATTATGATATAGTGATATAGGATAAGGAGGAATATGGATCGGAAAGATTATAGATATATTGAGGAATGGGGGATTAAGTCTGGATTATTCATGTGAATGTGATCTGCTGCGGGGATATTTGCTTCATATATACATCAAAAGTCATAGGGAATAAACTAAATGAGGAATAAAATACATTAAAGGTAGGGTATAGGTAAATTTGAGAAACCGGCTCGAGATACACTTTTTGTTATATTCCATGGAATGCTCTTAACATCCCGATAGCAATGAATATCTGAAGTGCTTTGACAAAAAAATCCATAAAAAAATGTCATCTGTAAAAAGTACGACCAATCATTTTAGCCGGCCCGGCTAAAATAACTGGATGGCCTACCTGCCTGTCAGCCTTCCATCTGGGCACAAACTTATCTCGTGCCCTCATCATTGGTCATGTGCGTGTTCGTGTGTGTTGGAGGAGGGGCTCTATAAGGAAGTGGCAGATTTTCTCCGGTTGTGTATTTTCAAATTCTAGCGATCTCGAGCCGGTTTCTCAAATGTACCTACCCCACCTTTAAATGTGTTCAAATGAATACGTTTGCATGATATTTAACTATGAGGAACGTATGTGATACTTTACGGTAAGAAGTATGTCATAAAGGTTTTTAAGCAACTACTGTAGCTACATTTTAGGGAATATTTTAAACATTTTTGGGAAGCCATTATGTTAGCATAAAGACAGGAAAGCATGGAAAAAAATACTTTTAAAAGTGTTACAAATATGCCCCTGTGTACACAAACACCCATGTGATTATAGGGTTTAAAAATCAGACATTCAAATTTAACAGATTCAAAATAAACCTCGTGAAAAATAAATATATTTGTAGTTTTAGACGTAATAAATGTACATATTTGTGCTGCAATGACTTCATGTTGTTGAAGGTTGTTTGTTTGGTACCAGAACTGTATTTTGAATTTAAAAGTCAAGAAAGTAAATAGGTGCATCAATGTTTTTACACTCTACATATAATATACAGTGTTTTTTGTCTTTCCCTCTGCTTTTTCCAATTGTTTACTTAATCAGGAAGGTTTCACAGGGAGGCCCTCATTTACCAGAAGTTCTTTAATTAAAGAATCAGGTTTATTGCAAAGTAGGTTTTAAACATACAGGGAATGTGTCTTTGGGTACATGGAGTATACATAAAAACAGCTAAAGAAGATAAAAAGTAAGAAAAACAAACATAAAATGTGATAAAAACAATTGAAACTATTATACGTTAAGATGTGAGAAATGATTTACATTAAATCTGAATATACTAAAAAAAACTGCGTGCAGTATACTGTTGCAAAGTATTTGGAATAATACAATAAAATATGTGTAGTATTATAATGGAAGTGGATGATAGTTTACAGATGTGCAAAATATTTGGAGGGTTGTGCAGAAGAGGCAATATTTAAATAAAATAAATACAATGGCTAAATTAGACTCTAAACACAAATATGAGAATCCACCAGAAATATAAAATACTAAAAACTATTAAAAATGTTCTTTTAGTAGACAACAGTTAGGTTTTATGAAGAAAACGACTGGTCAGAACAATACAAGTGTGTGTGTGTGTGTGTGTGTGTGTGTGTGTGTGTGTGTGTGTGTGTGTGTGTGTGTGTGTGTGTGTGTGTGTGTGTGTGTGTGTGTGTGTGTGTGTGTGTGTGTGTGTGTGTGTGTGTGTGTGTGTGTGTGTGTGTGTGTGTGTGTGTGTGTGTGTGTGTGTGTGTGTGTGTGTGATGGAGGTCAATTCAGTTCAGATGGGCTTGTCTCCTAAGAAAGTTGTTTTGATTAAAGTCCAGGGCGAGACTGCAGAAAACCCAGAGACCTCCGACTGCTCTTTTTCTGTCTTCACGTCTTTCTCAATTAATATCAATGGGGCTTTGGCATAGGAGACATGTTTAATGATCCTAAAAACAACACAGGGTCTTTTGTTGTTGTTTTGAACATGTGCATTCATGTGTTCCCGGTTAAATAAATATATAAAGTGTATGTCTGTTTAAATTGCATTGTGGTGCAGTGTGCCTGTTCTGTAATAACAGAGTGTGTGTGTAACAAAGGGAAGCATGCTCTCCTTTGTGTTTCCTCTGAGTGTGTTGCAGCTTTGTTGGCTCTGCTCCTTTGTTGCAAGTACAAAAGAAACAGAGAGAGACTGAAGGGCTGATCCAGGACCAGCAGAGGGCGCTGTGTCACGGTGAGAATCAAGAAAAGGGAGAAGAGCAGGGTCTGTAATTGGCTGTAAAGATAAGAATAAACAATGGCTAGGCTGGGAATATTGTCATGTGTACAGTAGCTACAGTGCAGATATGGCAATGAAAAACTGAAGTCACAGGCTCCTCCAACAGTGCAACATGGATATATATAGGACATCAAACAAATAAAACACATCAAATACAGCAAGAGAATGTTTTGATATGTGCACCACTTTTTCACATGGTTGATTTTGTCCCAATTACAATTTCAAAGCATCTTTTTTTCTGAATAATATCTTGCAAAGAAATCTATCTCTCTACCTGTCTGTATCTATCTATCTCTCTCTCAATCTATCTATCAATACCTGTCTATCTATCTATCTATCTATATATCTATCCATCCATCCATCTATCCATCCATCCATCCATCCATCTATCTATCTATCTATCTATCTATCTATCTATCTATCTATCTATCTATCTATCTATCTATCTATCTGCACAAGACGTAATCATACAATACAATGTAAATATAGAAAAAACAAACATGCAAACATTATATATATATATACAAAATTGACCAATAAAACAATACAATTCTGGACATAGATTCCTGTTATTCGCAATTTCCCTATTGCACTGCGTAAATTGTATACTTGAAAGACCATTTACCAATCTTTCAGACTCCCTATGACCTTTCCACTTTTCAAAACAAAGGGACGCCGTTGTAAACAATACACGCAGCAAAATAAAAGCTAAACAACACTCTTATGTGATTCTGCAAATGTGGCTCTTTTCTACTTTACAGAGGAGCAACATGGCTCGCTCCTATAGGCTCTTATTAGCTATTAACAGTACTTTTAGTACATGTAAAGTCTGAAAGTAGAGCCTAAGAAACCCTGCGATGCATCACAGAGCGATCTCACAAAGCAACTTTACAAATGACTTGATTTTGCGGGTTGAATTTGCATCATTTAACCGACAACCTAGCAACCAGTTGATACGCACACTTAAACACATGCAAACACGCACCTGGGCCTGAACACACACACTCCTTTTGTTCTCTCGCTCATGTCAAATAACATGTGCCGCAATCAGTGTCTTAAGTCTCACGAAACCATGATAAAACAGCTGGTTTTACTCAAAAACATGCTGCTCGACATG